GCTCCAGAAGGACAGAGCTCAGCAAAGGAAGCCAATTCCTCGGAGAACTGCGCTGAGTCCCTGGTGGAGCTCATCAGCAATCCCAGGCACAGCTCCATTAAGGCTCTCTGCACTGACAGCAGCTGACTGCTAAAGGAGATGAGCAAAGCCATAAGAGCATGAGGGTTTCCACAGGGCAAGGCAACTTTTCTGCCGTGGACTGACACCAAGTTTTCGCTCAGTGCTGCCAACATCCTCCAGAGAGGCCATTCTCAAAAGAGATCAGAGGTGATCTGGGCAGTTACCGAGCACTCACTCTTTCCTAATCAGGAAGGATGCACAGGAACACTGATGAAATTGAAGCCTTGCATTAGATAAATACAAAAGCATCACAGTGTTTAGGAGTCAACAAATGCAGGAGTGCTCAGAGACAGTGTTTGGAATTGCCTTACTCTTCCTTTTGCCAAAAAAAAAAATAAGCCTGTAACAGTCCAGAATAACTGGGGACAATAAATACCTTGCAAGAACTAGAAATGAACCTCGCTCCCTTGTGCATTTAGCTATTAAAAAAGAGATTTAAAAGCCACAGTGAAACTCCACTATAGAGTCAAGGAACAAAGCACATGAGAGCTAGAGAATGACAAGATCATTGATAGCTTGAGGGAAACCTTGAGAACTTAGAAATAGAAAGAAAATTAAAATTAAGCCATTCCAATTCATCTAATTGTAGGGGACAAGTACCTTCTGCAGGGCAGCATTACAGACTGAACAGATTTCTTTTTGGATTACGAAATTATGTTAAAATATGGGGCACAACTGCTGTGAAACCAAAAACAATGCCTATTTCTGATTAATACAGTGTGTACAGTTGAAAGGTCTAGAAATTCCAGAGAGACGTGAAGGTTGTGACAGCCAGTGTAATCATCCATTCTAATAATCACAAGCTATAAAACCCTCTAATTTCCACACCCAACCTACTTAATGGGGCCAAATTTGTGGCCTGTCAAAACTTGGTAGGATGGAAGAGCTGACTTGAAACAAAGATTACTTTTATAGCCTGTAAGAAAGACATTCATTTCACAAGACCCCTACAAATCTTCCATACCTCTTTTTTCACAGTCAGGACACAAAGCAAACCAAAATGGTTTCAAGATATTTTAAAGTCACCTCAGTTTTGGAACGCTGAGGTATAGATTTGCATCTTCCCACCCAATCCTAGGACTTGAAATTCATCTGGAATGGTCTTTTCTTTGGCTGTGGTGCTCCTTATCCATACATTCCTAGCATACTTCACAGCACACATAGCCCCTCTCAGATGTTAGCACACTCAGGCTCCTCTGCTGTGTGGGTAACGTTTACCTTGGCTGCGTTCTTGCTCCTTTACTTGCCTTGGTATTACATTTACTAAGAGCTTCTCTATAGATTTTCTGCCACTTATTAGAATAGGGAATGTAAGTCCACTTTCTTGATGCATATTGTCCCTCTCATTTGGATTCAAGTGTGCTTCACTCTGAAAGAGTAGGGTCTGCTCTTAAACACAGGAAAAGTGAAAGACTGTACTCAGTCCAGACTGGAGATGAGATCTCAGCTGCACCAGGGGAGGTTTCCATTGGATATTAGGAAAAATTTCATCACCAAAAGAATTGTCAAGCACTGAACAGGCTGCCCAGGGAAGTGGTGGATTCACCATCCCTCGAGGGATTTGAAAGACCTTGTAAATGTGGAGCTCAGGGATGTGGTTTGGTGGACTTGGCACTGCTGGGGGAATGGTTAGACTTGATCTTAAAGGTCTTTTCCAATCTAAATGAGTCTGTGATTCTACTCTGTGTGAACAAAGGGATAGACTGGGATAGATTATTAGAGCTTAATGACCCCTTGATTAATTTGTTGTTGACATTTACTCAGAGGAAGCAGCAGAACAGAGAAGAGAGCCATAATCAAGGGGAAGGATGTCTCTGGAGACTGGGGTTTTGTGTGCATAAACAAAGTTAGTGCAAGCTTTCAAGGGTTACGCTAAACAGCTGTTTCATTATTTATGTAAAAAGTAGTAGCATATGACGACTTGGATTCTTGGAAGGAAATCTTTTTCCTTTTCCTAAAGACATGCCTCTGGATTCCTGCAAGTGATATTTATATCCTTAAGGGATTTCCTCAAATGCCTTCCTGTGGCAATCTACTTTCCATAAAGGCTCGATCTGATGAACCACTCAATTACAGTAGGTCATTGTAGTGATGTAATGACAATGTCAGGGACAGACACTTACACAAGGCACTTTCATCTCAGACAAGTAGAAAAATCATAGTAATTTCAGCTGAATTTCTACTTAGTTACAGTGCTTTATTTTGGAGTTGTTTTTATCCTCTTGGTGAAATTTCCTAGGTGGAGCTTGACACAGTTGCTAACACTGCAGTCAGCACCACGCTGGAAAGTTTCCTGCACTAAAGAATTCCAAGATGGCCTAAACAACATCTGCTTCCCCAGTTTGTCTGTTCCCAATGTCAGAAGCAAGCCCCTTCCTACCCAACCCACTGTGGGTGCCCCCCACAGGCCATTCCATGACCCTGGCTGCAAGGTGAACAACACAGAGCCTTGAACATCTGCTCCCTGTCTCAGCCTCTGCCCAGGAGAGTTGTGTGATCCACAGAGTCATGATGATGCCTCTTGTGATTTGTGCAAACTACAAAGAGCTCTCCTTTGCTCCCTTGCTGCCAGCTCTCTCCATTCTCATCCAATCTTCCCACCTTTGGGAATGTTGCTGCCACTTGGGCTCTCTTCTGAGAACTTGACTATCCAAGTCCCCTTTGACCTCACACATCAACCACCTCTACTTCATTCCAGCACTTCAGAAGGTATGAGAGACCTAAAAAAAGTCCAGAGCTGCCAGGATTATGGCCAGGGAGCACAAGAACGGCCACTGCACAGCTCCTTACAGACCCTCAAACAGGTGGCAGTGTCTAAAGAAACATTCAGCCCAATTTTCAATTCAGCCCAACTCAGCAATTCCATGACAAGATGGCATCAGAGTTAATAACTGCTGTGCTCTTCTGTGGGAGCAAAACTTATTAGCACAAAAAAAGACTGGCAGACAAACAGCCCCTCAACTCTTACTGCCTCTGGCACTAAATTTTGTAGTTCATTCATTAGCATTTACATTTACAGGAGAGTTATGAATCCACAATGCAGAGATTATGAGGCTCTGCACAAAAAAAAGTAACAGAAAGATGGCTTCTACTACCACAAAACATCCCTGCCTTGTGATCATAAACTACATTTCAAAAAGCTGACACTTCCACCTCCCTGTTTCTGCCATGTTTGCTCTAGGAAAGATCCAGCCCTAACAAAGACCTGTGGATGCCACCGTAACATAAGTCTGTTATTAGTGCAGATGAAAGCAATCAGGAGAAATGTAAATTGTTATAAAACTGCCAGACATTCAATAACAAACTGTTAGAACATTCAAATGGCAGGAAAGCTCTGGCCTTGAGCAATCTGATTGAGCTTTGAAGACTAATAAAGCTTCAGAACTGGTCCTGCTTTGTGTACTGGTGTTGGACCAGATGACCTCAAGAGATTTTTTTTTTTGGCCTTACACAATTTTGTAAAGTTGTAGTTACCAAAGTGAAATATAAATAGTCTTGAACTTTTATGCAGTATTAATTTACTCCTTTGGACTGTTACTTGTATAGATGATACAATTAATTCCATGAGCAATATAAAAGCCTTCATTAGATGGGCTGTGTCACAAAAATTTATGTATCATCAAAGGATTCAAATCTCCAATAAAGAAAATAATATAGCACATCACACCCTAATGCACAAAGAAATCAGATATTTAATCCAAAATCTTTATAATTACAGTCTTTTTTTATCATCATGTGCAACTCATAGACTCTCCTGTCTGGAGACAGTGGTTTAATAGTAATTCTTGGATCTGGACCTGCTCTTGCTTCCCCCTGAACTAGGAATGCATTTCCACCAGTGTTTGGGTTATTCTTTCAAAACAAAGCTCCTGACTGCCTCCCCTTATCATGCTTTGGTTTGTGGCACAAACAAGTTGTGGAGTAGTAAAAATAACTCATTTGGAGTGAATGAAGCCACGTGAATTTTGGAGCAAATGTATCTAGAAAGGCATTTCCTGGTGAGTTCCAGAACACTGATGCTGTACAGCTGAGCTGTCTTTTTCAACTCTGCACATCAACCAGTACTGACAAATAATCCTGTGATTTACCTAAAGGGTGAGTAAATGTGATCCATATATGACTGAGGCTGGGAAGAGAAGCTGAATGTGATGGCCCACCCAGGGAAGAGCAGAGCATTGGCAGAGCAGCTGAAAGCCCAATTTCCTTCTCCCCTCCCTCCTTGGGCATCGAGATGGAACTGGAGTGTCAGTAAATGAGAACTACTGCAAGCTCCTGCTCAGGGGGCCACAAGTTCTTTGAGTGCCCCAGCATGGAAGGAACAGTTTATGGCTTTCCTACAACCTCTGACACCCTATTTGCAACTTTGAGAGATGACTGCTGTAACTTGTCCTAATGCCCACCCCCTGGCCTGCTCAGGAATTCACAGTTTCACTGCTGGGTCTATATAACACCTTAAATATTGGCAATCCAGTCTCCATCCAGCAGTTAAAGCAAGTCTGGAGTGTACTGCAGTAAACCAAACAGCTGCACCCTACACAGAACAGTTCAGGCCTCCAATTGAAGCACTGAAATGAATCTCTCCAGTGCATCTTTATTGCACAGGGAGATGGCTCCACGAAGACTCCATACACGGACAGAAGCATTATTTTTTGATGGAGGGATAGTACTCAGCTTTTAGAAAAGCAATGCTGAATGGTTTTCTTCCACTTGTAAGCACCATGGACCCAGCTGTCCCTCCCACACAGCTTTATGTATCATTCTATGTATTATTTACTCTTGGAAGACACAGAGCCACGCAGGAGTCAGAACTTGTTTATATTTCAGTTATGGAATAAGCTATTGATTCTATTGCATCAAAGGTATTTCTGTTTATTCAGCAGTCCTATGATCCACACACAATGAAAATAAATTTAAAAAAAACTAAAAATGAAGTTCCAACTAAAATAGAGTTGAGACAGTTCCCCCCCAAAACATATTATAGTTATATATTGATTTAATGGCTTGTTACTTTTAAAGTGACTGCTTTTAAAACTTTGCACACAGTCACCTCAGCATTACAAAAGCACTGACAAGTGTACAAGTATGGAATTAGTGTACGTATGTTAAAGAAAATTAAGGCAGAATTTCCATCTTCTTAACTTTATGTCTCTTTAATAGACACGCATTTTTCATCTTTTTTTTCCTTTCAAATGTAAGAAAGCTTGAAAGCCTTAAACCAGGTTTCATTTAATAAGAGAAAATAAGAAGTCTGCCACACAAAAAATTACTGAATTATGCTCAGTTTAGGGGTTCCACTCTTCTCTTTTGCCTCAGGCTTTTGGGACATTAAGGCCACGATATAAATCCTGGTCAGTGCTTTTTTCTAAGTAGCAGAAACGAGAGTTTATTAGCATCACAGTGGTTGCCTCAATAATGACAAAACAGTTGCTCATTACTGCTCATTAGATTCATATTAGATTCATTTGCAATAGCAATACATCTTCTATTCATACTCGATTGCAAAACAACAGATACGATTTGACACCTGCTGTAATACAGAATTCATTAGGAAGTAATAATACAAATAGGATTTCAATGGATGGACTTAGTCTTCTGTCTCTGATGGGTCTAAAATTTGTCATTAATGGGGAATTTATATAGGATAAATACCACAGCAGGCAGCCAGCTTCTTCAAATCGTGTGCTCCAATAAAATATCACACACAGAAACAGACAAGCAAAGAGCAGACAGACACACAAACAAGCAAATTAACAGTACCATATGCAGGAACAGACATTAACTATTTCTTTGGATATCCCTAACAGAAAAATGCAGTTACTAACTTCTGGAGTCACAGGAAAGTGCAGAATGCTGCATTTTCATCAAAAGATTAAGTCAACGAGTAAATAAGTTCAATTTTACCTTGAAAACTTCTGGGACAAACAGCCCAGGATGCTCCTGAAACACCTGTTAAATGCCATTGCCTTAATTTACTTGAAGAGTGCAAAACCATTACTGTGTCTCTATGCTTTGGAAGCGCCAAACTAATAACAGCATTTAAATGAACTGAAATCTCTCCTTTTCCTAGAAAATCCTATGGGGAAAAGACAAAATTATCTCCAAACTCATCCGTTCTTGCCCCCATTTTTTCCCTGTGCAAAGGATGAAAGCATATGGAAGTAATAGGTCTTCACATCATGAAGCAGAGAGAGGTTGATTGCAAAATGGAGCCCTGCATATCATAAAATAATTCACATTATAATAAATTCAGCCTCATTATTACCTCTCATGGTATTTCTGAAGGTACAAAACAAATATCCTGTTTCTGTCCTCTGCTCAGCTCTTAATTCAACTATCAAGTTAATTAATTCCCTACTATTTACAGCTTATGCAAAGGAGTCTGTTCCTATCCCTCAGCACACCTAACATCTGAAAAAAAACATAATTTTGCTTACTCTGCCTCTGGCAAGAAATTTCTCCACAGCTTCTTATCAAACCTGTTTCTTACAAGAGCTGCTTCCCAGCAGATGGGTTCCTCTTCCACTCAGTTCAGCCATAATCTAGCTCTGCTCTCCAGAGAAAAAACTGGGAACGGCCATTGCCCTCTGCATTGTTTGAGATAACTTCCATGATTTGACACTCAAGGACTGTAAAGATGAATTCTCAATGGAAGACTACCAAATATGTATTCTGAATTTCTTAATAAAACTCTTGATCTGATACAACCTAGAGTCAGACCAGACTTTTCTACACTTCTAAAATCACATTGCCAGCCCATGGTCCTTCTGTGCTTCTCCTTTTCCTCCAAACCAGCAGTTTCCAGAGGCACAGACTTACATTTTGTATCCTAAATTTCTGTTTTATTTCTCAAACACCAATACCCCAGTACCTCACAACTTTATATTCTTCAGCAAATTGTTTAAGGACACTTCTCTTTCTATTTTGTTAGTGAATTAAACAGGGCACTGTTGTCTCAGGACCTATAGAAAATGTACACTGTTATTTAAAGGTTATTTCAATGTGCAACCTCTTATCCCTGCTCCTTATAAAGCAGAATTTATAGAAAATTCACATACAATGACTCTATGAGGAGTATTAAAAACCAACAGACCTGTCTTAGTTCAGCCAACATTAGAACAGCAGTTCCAAGCCTGGATTTTCAGGAGTCTCTATAAACACAAAAGGGGGGGAAAAAATAAATAAAAGTCACATGAGTAGGGCAAAACCTCACTTGAATAAGGCAACTGCTTTTAAAACTCAGCTGTTACGAAAATGACTAGCCTGATTATTGAAATCAGAGCCACAAACCACCAAATGATCCCGTTCCTCCTCCCAGAACTGCAATTCTGCACAAGGCATTGACTGCCCAGCAGTGGGGAGTGGAGCACAGACAGTGCCTTGCTTTTCTGGGCAGGCTGGAAACACATCCCATCCCTATTTTATTAGATCTGGTTGCCACTTCATCACCTGTTTTATTTTTTTAATTTAAAAAAACCCAAAACATACCTCAAACCAAAAAATCAAAACACAACAAATAGAAAGGAGTCTCAACAATCAGGAGAGTCAATGGCTCCCTGACTTCTCCTGGGAAAGAAGGCACTGCCTCTTTTTCTCTGGATGGGATCTGAGAAATAACAATGCAAATATATTAATATTGCATGGTCGAGGGTACTTTCTATTAATATGCCATTAATACAACAACCTTTGCACTACATTTAAAGATCATGAAGATCAATATTTATTCTGAGGTCAGGGGAAAAAAAATCAATCTTGCAGTAAAATGAGTCATATTTAATATATCCTATCAACATAATTAAGTTTATACATAAAAAGTAGCACTGATATGTGAATAATGAATGCCATGACAGATGAGTTTCCCTTCTTGAACAACTTCAAGTGGATAATCTCAGAAATGAAAAGTCTGGAGTGATTTATATATATGCACCTTGTCATCAGGTAACAGCCATGGCAAATATACATACACTAAAAATCTTGGTGCCTCAAACCAAGCCATCCCGACTGCTCCACATGGATAAAATGAAACAAATATGAAATTATTCCTATAAGGTCAGGCAGTGGCTGAACCAGGATTAGGATCCCAGGAATTACTCCCATAAGGGGAATCTTCCTGATCCCCTTCTCTGCTCTGAGCACTAGAGAGTCTGCTCTCCCTGCAAATACAACCCATTCCCACAACACCAATAAACTTACATTACCTCTTCACACGTTTCTGAAAGAAAATAAAAATGGATAAGAAAACACTTTTTCTTCAGTGCTCAGCAATAATTGCTTTCTAAAGGCATGAGCAATAAAACCTCTGACATCCAAGAGATGAGGAACACGCCCAGGGTCTGACCATCTTTGCAGTTACAGTGATAGGAACAGGGAGTAACATCTCATCCCAACAGCCATGAAAATGATGAGAGAGCAGCATTTTAAAATTAAAATAATTCCTCAGTGAGAAGACTCCTGACCCTACATTCTGTAGCTCGTTCAAAAGCCAGGCATTCCTTCTTACCTTTTTCAGGGCTTTTGGTGCTTTTGCTGCCAGGAAGTTTGCCTTCCTTGTATTAAGTTCCTGTTCTGGTGAATTCAGGGTGCAGAACTGGCTGCACAATTCCATGGGATTGGTAGCAAGGTGAGTGTTAAGGAAAGGTAAGTTCCAGAGGCTAAAGTGGCCCCTCTGGAAGTGTGGGAGTCACTCATTCAGGCTACTTTACACTAAAGCAAATGTCACCTATTGGCACTGTCACTGGACTTTAACAGCACTTCCCACATAATTTGTATATTTCAAACGAAAGTTCCCAGATCTCCAATCTTTTGTGTTTTCTTTAAAGAGAGGACTAATTTCTTACCTGCCTTTTACAAGTCTCTGCTGCTTTCCTCTGATCTGCTTAACACATAAACACCTCTAATAGGTTGAACTTACTGTGAGATGCAAAACGCAGGAGCTGTCTACACAAAAAGCCTTAATCAGTCATGAGTTTGGTAAATGATGTCTCCATGCCATCCATATTGAGTGTCCATTACTCCTGGACATAGCACATTAACTGACTCATTAGCTATTTCAAACCATATGGACTTAGGTTTGGGTGGGTTGCTCTGATAATATCCTGAGGTGAGCTTCCTAATTATTGCAATTACGTGATCTCAATCACGGGGCCAGCCACACAAAATAGAGTCAGGAGGCTCTGAAATGGGTGTCAGCGCACCCAGACAATGACTGAGCTGAGCAACACGGCCCCTGGATGTTGGAGCTCCCTGGATACTGCAAGAACTAATTACTCCCAAAGTTCTGAGGAACTGGCAGGGAGCATGGCAACAATGGAGCGAGCACGGCAGGAGCACGGGATCTGCACAGATGCAGGGACACAAATAGATTTCTCAGCATAAACTGAGAAGCAGTCTGAAACTTGATGCCTTGTTGTCAATGCTCTTAATACAGAGATGTTATATCTCTGGAGTAAATTTAGCCATGATATTTTAAGCATCAGTGAGATCTGGAGCAAAGCAGGGGAATTGAATGTGGGAGTGCTAAAATGCCAGTGTTAAATACCACAAAAGCATCACAATGCAACGGTGAGAGAAGCTACAAGTGCTCACCTACTGCAGGAAATTTAAGGGGCTTTGTGCATGTGACACTGCAAGATTTCGTATAATTGACTGCAATTCTTTATATTCAAGTTTAGGTTAGGGCAAGGAGAAGAAAAAAATTAAAATAAATGGAAGATGGACCGAATGTTTAATGTACGGTGCTTTAAGACAAAGACAGAAACAAATACAGTTTCAGGACAGGTTTGATGTCTTATTAAACACTTAGAGAAAGCACTGATTCCCTGAGAATCTCACCACACTCTATAAATGAAGCCCATGAACAGCTGATTGTTACACTCCAGAACATATGCGAGAAAGAGGCTGATACTGGTAGGATTTATACATTTTTACTCTTATTAGCACACTCACATTTCTCTTACGAGGATTTTTGAATTTGGTAGTAGTGGTAGCTGTATCACCTTGAAGGGAAATTGCTTCCATCATAATTAGGCTTCCCTGAAAAAACCCAAACAACAAAACCATCCCTACAACGGTAGTTGGTATGGCCATTAACCCCCTTTATCACCTCCCAAACTGCTAATTTGTAGTAACTGTGGGAGGACACTCGGCTTTATTGAACCTGCCTAAACGAAGATCAGTTTTCTGGGAGGGTTGCGAATTGGTTGATGATGAGCAGGGAAAAAGAAAAAAAGTCCCATCTCTAAAAAAAGAGGATTTCTTAGTCCCATCCACAAAACATGAGAATGTGCTACTAACAGGGCCAAAGGCTCTAGAATCAAGTTCTAATCTGCTTAGAGCTTTTCTGAGGTAAAGCCCTTGGTCTTTATGAATTTTTAAAAATATGTGTGTATTAATTTTGTGTTTTAAAGTGTCTGAAACCAAACCATAAAAATGTGCTGGTAACACACACCTTTTTGCGGGCCTACTAGTTATGGTTGTTTATTAATAAAAATCTGGTCCTAAAGTATAAAGTCGTACTTCAGGAGTGGCCTGGTATGTGCAGGAGCTTTTCTTTTTAATATTTGCTTTTTATATTAGTCACATGACTAATATATTAGTCACTATGACTACATTCCTGAGTGGTTGTCTTTGAGGATTTTAACTTTTAATGATTGATAAAAGCTTGAAAATCTTTAACTTTGCATCTATGCTCTCATTTAAAAAAAAAAACAAACACAAAAAACCACACCAAACCCTTTCCCCCCCAAAAAACCAAGCCTAGCAAGCAAAACAACCTAACAAATCGACAGTTATTTCCTCACAACGTGTAGGATAAATACCTTAAACCCTCTTATACCACACGTTAACATTAAATTGCACAAGTTGTGATAGAGCTCTAAGTTATTAAGGATGGTTCACTATTCCTCAGAACTCCACGAATTATTCATACTTAACCTGTCTGGGTTTTTTTCTTCTACCTCATCTGATTTGTTTCACTTTCTTATTCTGGTGAAACTTTGTGGGCAGGGAAAGAGCTTGGAAGCAGGAAGCCCTTTGATAATACTTTCATTTCAGTTAAATTATGTGGATATCTCTTTGCAACAGCTGAGCAAAAAAAAATTTCTCCTTAAACAGAGGCTTGTCCTCTGATTCCCAGTTAATTTTGAGGTAATTTTCTTCTGGAAAGATCCTTTACCCAGGTAACACATAACACTGACAATGGTGATGGCTTCTTTGATGCTGAACTGGGCATCTGTAGTTGCTTTTTTAAATAAACCAAACAACCCCAACACCACCCTCCTATGGTGTGTTTTGACAATGGTTGCAAAGGGGAAAAACCTCTACAAAATGGTTTATCCAAATTTTGATTTTGCTCCCTTTATGGCTGAGCTTTCTGCTGATTCTTCAGCTGGTCTTTTATCCATCAGTAACGATAAAACCACAGAGCCTGCCAAGACTGATGAAGCCAAAAGGATTGTTACATAAAAGCTTAATTTACTCGCAGCAATACGGGCTTTGCAGTTGTAATCTGTGTTACTACTTTTAGGTTTACTTGCAAATTATGAGGTTGCTGATGTTTTGAATTTTGTTTGGTCTTTAAAAAAAAAGATACTAGTCCTTTTTTTAAAGAAACCAAATAGACTTAAACTTTTAAGTTATATACCCTCTCTTCTGGAAAAGGACTTGTCATGGTGTGGTGGTCTGCCTAGGAGGTGTGTACCTGGGTGAACGGACCTATTGATAAAGCAAAACTTGCACAAAATGGTCGTTTGTGATCAAAGCTATACCCTGGGATTTTGGGGAATTAAAACTCACCTCACACTGTTCTTTACTGCCAATTTACAAGGGGACTGGGCTGATCGACTCCTGGGTCAGCTGCATCTCTCCTCTGTCCCTGCCTGGAACCAGCCTGAGGCGGCCATTACCTCTTCCACTGTCCTGTTCTGGGGTGAGTTCCTGTGTTTTTGGGTGGAAATTGTTACCCTTGACCTCTGCCAGGAAGATCCTGAGGGAAAACCGAACTGGCCTGAGTGAGGCCTGGTACTGTGACAGTTCTGTGATTTCGCTGAACCTCCTGAAAGCTGCACCCCAAATCCTGTCAGCTGAGATCTTCTTTTTTACCTCAGGCAGGAGACTGCCTGATCTCCGACTTCTCTATGCACGAAATAATTTTTAGAAGTTCCTCCCTCGCGAAGCGCAGCCTCAGAAGCGGGAGAGCGGGAACACCCGGGGCTGAGGCACCTCCGCGGACGCCATCTCCCCTCTGCTCCTCCGTCCCTCATAATCTCCCTGCTCCATCTCCCTCCTCTTCCATTCCCCGTGATCTCCCTACTCCGCCGACCCCCATCTCCCTGTCCCCGGAGCGAGGAGCCGCAGCAGCCGGGACACGGAGACTCTTCGTCCGCCCGCTCCCCGCTCCGGGCCCCTGAGGGGAGGCGGTGGCGCCTCAGGGCGGGGCTGAGGGGAGGCGGGAAATGGCGCGCGCCCCGCCCCGCCGCGCGGGGGGGCCGTGAGGAGGCGGCTGAGGGGGTCCCGG